TTTCAAGTGTACAATTCTGTAATACATCATCTATATATCACATTGTGTGTTCACCACCCAGAGTCAGTTCTCCTTCCATCACCATATATTTGATCCCGTTTACCCACAGCCCCATTCTTGGATGAAACTTTATTACATAGGGAAGGAGGAACCTAGAGCTGCAATGACAAGAGGGTATATGCTGAAAGAGGATTTATCCTTAAGAGAGAAGGAAACTTGCTTTGTTCATGGTCCAATCGCCAGGGCCTAGCACAATGATGGCCACTACACGGGCGTTCATAAAGCCTTGAGTTGGCCAGGGGCGGGCTCACAGGACACTGTCCAACACGACCGGGCGACGGAGCCTTTCCTTTTGGATCAGGCGAGGACAGCGCAGCACCCTCGCCCTGGGTTCACCCACCTTGGGCCGCTTAGAAACGCGGGGGCCGAGAGGACACACACCGGCTGGCGACACGAGGAATGGGTGGGGCGAGCAAAACTCCGCCCACTGAGAGGCATTAAGCTCCACGAAGCCGGGTTCCTGCACACCCCTCCCGAAGCGTCTCCAGTTACTCTCACGCCTAGGGCGGGTCGGAAGTGACGGGACTTGTAGCGCATGATTGGTGGAAGCAGAAAGTGCTTTGCGGCCGCCCGGAGATTGCTTCCCTTTGGGCTTCCGCTCCTGGCCCATGTGAAACAGGCTGCTGAGATGAGCGCGATTCTGGCTGCGGAGAGGTGAGGGGTAAAGACGGGTAGGGGGGTCTGGGTCTCGTTGGGGGCCAGGTTCTCCAGACTTTGAGATATGGAAGCTGCTTTTTAACAGACGACACATTCCGCTCCTAAGACCTCGTCATTCGTTACTGTTTCCGCGATCCATCCTTTGAAACCCTTTTAATTTAATTTAATTTGCTCCCTCCACTCCCCAGCTTCGGGGCTTCATCCCTGTGGTCCTGATGCGGCCTCTCCCTCTTCAGCTAAGTTAAATGTTGCACTGTCCTCGTCACGTGACTCCTTTTTTTATGCCGCTGCTGCAGCGCGTTTCAGCCCTCTGCGCAGGCAGTGCCTGCGCTGTAAACTCCCTTGTCTTGGAAACCTTTGGAGTCATCCACGATGTTTTCTCTTCTGATGTTTCACCTCCCACCTCAATAGGGGAACGAATATAATTCGTTTAGTACTACTTGCCTTGCAAAGATTGATATATACTGTTAGGTAATAGACTCCATAACTTGTTTCAGGGTATCAGTATTCCTTAGTTAAGCACCTACTTTTTTCTGAGCAAACCACAGGGAAAATGGCTTTTTCAGCTGCTTTCCTCCAATTCCCTGTTTCCTCATTCCAGGTAACAACTGATCAAGATGTCACTTTTGAGTAAGCTGCACCAGTAAAGGTGTCTTCCACGTGAAGGCTGTTTAGAAATAGTAACGGTAAAACTGTCTTGCCTCAAGGGCCAGGAGCAGCGTCTGTCTGCCACCTTACTTATGGTCTGACATTTTTACAACCACCCCGAGGTCAGTGGGAAATGCAGTTCCAACCACTGAAGAGCATTATATCTTTTCCATGCAGTTCGGTATGGGTATCACCAACCACTGCTCACCTCTTGGAGATGATGCCTGACTTCTGCAGTTACGTTTTACAGATTGTTTAGTTTCTTCAAGTGATAATATTTTTCTTTTATCTCTTTTAACAGCCTTCTGGCTTTATGTGAACAGGAAGAACTAGAGGATTTCCCAAAAGAATCCCCCATGAGCACCAGTGAAGATGAGGTGGGTGACAACTGCTACACTACCTTCTGCCTCAAAATTAGGGTACACAGCACATTCCTGGAAAGGGAAGGGGGGGTAACATTGTTTATATTTGTTCAGGTCTCACAAATAAATTATAGGAAGTTGTTTCAGTCTTTCATGTATAAGATGTATTGAGTGCTATGGGAGTTTGAAACCTGTATAAGATACAGCCACTGTCCTCAAGTTGATTAAGTATAGTTGAGTAGTATACAGACCCAAACATATGGTCCTCATTGTTTGATTTCCCTGTTATCCAGATTTGGATTTCTGTAGAGAGTTATTTGTCGGACTGAACTATACATAATTAAGCTGCATCTCCGATGGATGCTGTAGGAATTCCAACTCTATTCTCTTGACAAAACTACTTAGATTGGTTTTTCTTCTTATAGAAGAATTTCTGTGTCAGATCACACTATATATTCCATAGAGAAACATTACTCCCATAGCAGTTTTCTTACCAAAACAAGTTAAGACAGAGGCATAACATTAGCTCCCAGTTACTAAGGCTCTGGAATGAGGGGCTCTGGTTTTTGGAGCAGTTCTTTCAGACCTGCACACCAGACCTCATCTGATTCCCCAGTTCTTCACTGACGAAAAGAATGAGAAATTTTACATGGGTTTCAATTTCCAAACTGTCTTTCCCTGCCCCTCATCATTCTGATGGCTTTTCTTTTTCTGTGTCTAGGGGGACAGTGATGGAGAACGAAAGCATCAAAAACTTCTGGAAGCAATCAGTTCCCTTGATGGAAGGAATAGGTAACATTCAAATCAATTTGGACAGGTTATAACTAGCTGATTCCATGAGATTTATCTGCAACTAACATTTATTGAGTGCCTAAGACAATGAACACACATTATTATTATTACATCATAATTAAGAGTACCTACTTTGGAAACAGACTGTCTAGGCAAATTTTTTATCCTTTCTGCCCCTCAATTTCCTCAACTAGAAAATAAGATTAATAATAGTACCTACCTCATAGGGTTGCTGTGACATTTTAATGAGTTAATAAATGTAAAGATCTTAAGCCAATCCCTAGCTTATACTAAAGATAATACAAGTGTTAGCTATTACTGTGTTAAACCTTTGTGAATTTGAATGCTTACTTAATTCACACTTACAGTCTTGAAGCATTGAATAGACATTACTTATCCAGAATTCAAACCCAGATCCAATACCTTTTCCACTATGCCTACCTTGTATTGCCTTGGGTTTTTGAGGGGCTGAGTCTACATTAAGAGATGGTTAAACTACCAAGTCCAGGTTAGGAACAGATTTCCTGGTTATTATGTGCGAAAACCTGACTCTTGAAGACAAATACATGAAAGCAAAGCTTTGTTTAAAGAAAGAAGTGTTTTTTCCCCAGCAAAATGTGTTCGTTCCTACTATATTTCTGTTTTTCCTAAATTTCAGGCGGAAATTGGCTGAGAGATCTGAGGCTAGTCTGAAGGTGTCCGAGTTCACTGTCAGTTTGGAAGGTAAGTTAACAAAGGCAGCGATCTGCGTGGAACTTGTTGAGTTCCCAAAGTATAACAGTCACTTCACAACCCCTACCCCAGGAACTGTTTTTTATGTGATTGATGGATCATACCATGAATATTTACCTGTGAATGAGTGAAGAAGGGTAGTCAGATGATATATTGTTGGATAAGGTTGAGCTTTGGGGGACACAAAGGTTTTAATACCTAAGTTTTGTTTCACCCTCTCCCAAACCAATTTTCACCCCTGGGTGGGAGAGTGATATCACCCCTATTGGGAATACATGACCTAGTGAATGACAGAGTTGGGATTTTAACCTTATTACCAAATCTAGATGCCAGATCTTTTTCACCATATTCACATATTCACAACTTAGGGGACTTGAATGAGTTACACTCTTCTAGTAACCACTGACATAACCTCCTAGAACAAGTGCCAATGTATTCTTCCAATCTTATTCAGTTTATGCTATGTATCAGCTTCTGTGTATCTACTATGCTTCTACTCTTATCAGTTTCGGAAACAGTTTAGATATTGGGTTATAGTAAAGAATAATACACTGATCTTATCGGGTTTACATTCTAGTGGGGGGAGACAATAAGAGAATTAAAACAGGATGATGCAATAAAGAGACTAAATGGTTGCTTTAGTTTGGCTGGTCATGAAAGGTCTCTGAAGAGTCAAAATTTAAGCTGAGATCTGAAGGACAACAAAAGCCAATCACGTAAAGGTAAGAGAAAGCATTCCAGGCGAGGGGGAAGCTAGTGCAGAGGCTCTAAGGAAGAAACAAACTCACCATGTTTGAAGAACAGGAAGAAGGCCGGCGTGACTGGAGCATAGTGGAGGTGGGGATGACATGAGGTTGGAGAGACAGATCAAGATCCTATGTGGGGACCAGATCCTGTAGGGCTGTGTCCTTTAGATCAATGTAGTTGACCTTCCGTATCCTTGTTTTTCACATCCTTGCCTTCAGCCAACCACAGATAAAAAATATTCAACAATAACAACAACAAAAATCCCAGAAAGTTCCAAAAAATCAAAACTTGAATTTGCCACACACTGAGCACTAGGCTGAATCCATGTGAATGAAGTGATGTGTAGGCATGCCCTGCTGTAGTGTATATGCAAATATAGGTTACATGCAAATAATACACCATTTCACAGAAGGGACTTGAGCATCCTCGGATTTTGGTATCTGCAGGGGATCTTGGAACCAATTCCCCATGGATACAAAGGGATGACTAACTCCAAGTATAATGGGGAGCCACTGGAGAATTTTCAGCAGGATCATGACATGCTGTGATTTACATTTTCAGACTATCACTGTGTCTGCTAAGTGAAGAATGAATTGCAGTGGAACAAGAGAGGAAGCAGAAAGACCAAGAGAAAAGCAAATAACTTTTTTTAAATAAATAACTTTCTCCTCCCTTCTACGCTCCAGCATGTGTGAGAATGTAGGAAAGTGATGGTGTCACTAGGGCTAGCTATTGAAGTAAAAGATTTATTCCTGTTTCCCTGCACATTTGCCTGACTGCCAGCATTTTCTATTTAGGTGTCTCCCTTTGTGATATTGGGATTTTGACTCACTTCTCATTCTGATCATAAAGTTTGGCCTTTCTACAGGATCAGGAGAAAGGCTATTCCTTTCGGATCTGCTTGAGCCCGTTAAAACTTCGTCCTCATTGGCCACTGTGAAAAAGCAACTGACTAGAATCAAATCAAAGAAGACTGTGGAGTTGCCCCTTAACAAAGAAGAGGTGGAGCGTGTGAGTTATAGAGTGTGGTCTATTAAGGGGGAGACATTGAACTTACAAGGAAAAACTGGATCAGAAGAGAAGGAAGGGGGAAGCCTGCAAAATGGTAGGAGGGAAGCTGTGATTGCCTCACCATGGAAATAATTAAAACTGATCTAGTACAAAGTACAGTCCTGAGAAGTAAGCAAGAGCTCATCTCTAGCATTCTGATTCTTCCTTGGGCTAAGAAACATTACCTCCTAATTTTCCACAAGTCCCTTGAGTTTGATGCCTCATCTTCGTGGCTCTTTTGTGTATATTGCCTGTTTCAGATCCACAGAGAAGTGGCCTTCAATAAAACCTCACAGGCCCTCTCCAAATGGGACCCCATTGTTCTGAAGAACCGGCAAGCAGAGCAGCTGGTGTTTCCCCTGAAGAAGGAGCAGTCAGCCTTTGCCCCCATTGAGCATGTGGTCAGCGGCTGGAAGGTAAGTGCAGCACGAGGAAATCGCACCTCGGGGGTGAGACTGCACAATGTGGAGCCTGCAGGACCTGCAGCCAATTTGGTTGGACATGTTAAGCCAAAATTCCAGCTGCCATCTTTGTAGTTTATCAGTCAAAGGGAGAGAAGAGGGTGGCAAGATTCATTGCTGGTCATGTAGTAGCCACTCAGAGTGGTTCTGCAATCGCCCTTCATCAGTTTATAGCATACAATACATGGTTATTTCCATGTTTTTGTGTTGAAAGACCCGATGGCCAGCCGAGAAGGAACATAATGTTTTCTTTTTCATGCCCCAGTTTTTAAAAAGCTTTTAAAGCCACAATCTGATCTGGGGGAAATCAGTTCACTGATGCCTTAGTAAGGATACATGAGCAACAGATCCAAAGTTGGCTTGTAAAGGAATACCACATTAAAATATAACATTGCTGATAATGAACAGACTCTTAGCATGTAGCTCATTATGACTGAGCTGCAGAAAATAAAAACATTATATACATTTTAGAGCTGGGTTTCCCAAACACTGATCCCTGGCAAATTTTTCATCCGTCTGAAGCAGAAGGATAATTGTGAATATGATGGGTGTAAGGTTGTCTGCTCTTCTTTATTATGAGCTTATTCTTTCCACTTTAATGGTGTAGAAATAGCTCTTCTTTTTATGAAATGATGGTGGTACCAAAGGATGGGGTTGAGGGTAGAACAGTAGTTATGCCCTTGGCAAAATTAAAAGTTGGTGATCCTATATTGGTCCCTAAAGTCTTGTATTTTTTTATTTGTTATTATTATTATCATTTTAGTCTATGAACAGTTGCTTCAAACAGCTAACCTTTCTTTTCCAATACACCATTGGTTATGGACTCTATAATGGAATGTTCTGTCTTAAGTAGAAAAATAGGCAAAAACAGAAGTGCCGAAACTATGAATAGATGGCTGTCTTTATGCTTTTCTTCTGCTTTCTAGAAATCCAGGAGTGATAGTGTTCTGTGTGTTGGGGACTTGAAATAATTAAAGCTAATCAAAGTAAACATGGCTTCCCACCATAACTAGAAATTGAGCAAGTGGTTGCTTATTGTGGGGATAAGCTCTGTTTCTGCCGTTCTCTTTCTAGAATGCTTCCTTTTCCACATGAAAAAGAGATCAGGTTTAAAGTGTGGCTGCAGGATGGGAGACTTTAGGAAAAAAATGAAGAGGTAATATAATTTGTAGGATTCAAAAATAAAACTATAGAAGATGTATAAAGTCTGACCCCACCCCTGTCTCCCACCTGCTCATTTTTACCCCCATATTCACCCAGAAGTAACCACTTCTGTAAGTTGTTTTATTATTGTAAACTTGAGTTTTACTGATATATTTGTGTTTACCTCATATTTATCAAAAAAGTAGTAGTGCGCTTTTACACATTCTCCTGCACCTCGCTTTTTCCAAATGACGTAATCTTGTAGATCACAGGAAAATGCCGAGTTGGGTATTAAAGGTGAGATGGTGGAGGACAAGGTTGCACTAAGAATAGCACAACTTCCCTCCAGGAACTCCTTGTACAAGACAGAATGGCCCAGAAGCTGTACATTGAATCTACTGGACCATTCATGCTAAGATTCATTTTTGGAGAAATTAAGCCAGTGTGGCACAGAGAAATACGGAAATGCTAAGGTCAGGGCGTGCTTTCTGGCTAGCAGCTTGCAATTCTCTTCTTACAATTTAAGAGTGCAAAGTACCAAGGACTAGTGATATACTAGTATTCCTGGAGGTTAAGAATCCAAAGTCTGCAGTATAGTTTTGGTCCAGCTTCCTAAAATTTCACTGAACTCTAGCTGAGAAGAATTAAATGGGATGTGTGCAAAAGCATTTGTAAACTGCAAAGTGCTAGAAATGATGGTTGATGGTACAGTAACTTTTCCCACTCCATCTCTCCTTCCCTCCACTAGCAGCCTACACTTGCATTTCCCAGAGTGTTCACCTCAATATGCCCTCAAAGGCGGCTGGGGTGGGGGAGGTCCCATTGCTAGAAAATGCTGCCTGCCCTTATTGGAGTTTGGCAATTCACAATGCACACTAGCCTTTTAAAGTCTATGAAAAGATAACGTACTCTAATCCAGAGTCTACAAACTGATGTTATTGAAAATCAAATAAATTGAATTTTTCAAACTTTTTTTTAAATGAAGTAAATCTTGTTAGCTGATGAGGAACATGCTTTGGGAAGAGCTGGTCTCCACTGCTATCAGTGTTCTCTCACCTTCTTTGCCTACTGCCCTACTGAAACTTCTCTCAAAGGCCATTAGTGAGGGGCCTCCCAGTCACATCGCAAGCCCTCAGGTTTCAACCAATGTGACACTATTGACACATTGTCAAAAACTCCTCCTTTGACATCTGTGACATACTCCTGATTTTTATCTAACTTTTCTTAGTCCATTTTATTGTTACCCTGTAAATTCTGTGACTTTTGACTTACCACCTGTATATGCCACAGATGACTCTCAACCCCTTCTTCTGAATTCCAGTCCCAGATTCCATATGATTAGCCGGCCTCACCTGGATCTCCCCAATGTACCTTAAACGTCATAAACAACAAAGTGAACCTGGCATTGTCCTTCCCCAGCCTCCCAAACCCTGTACCACCACCTTCATTCTGTAACTCAGTCAACAACATAACTCCATACCCAATTCACTTAGGTTGGAAACCTCCGCGATCTGATTTATCCTACTCCTATTAACTGCCATCTCTCCTCAGCCCAGACAATGGGCTAGTCTGTAAATTCTTTCTCCGTAATAGCTCTCAGATCCCTGGTTCCTCTTCTCATTTTCATTTTCACCTCTCATTTGGCACTTTACATATATCCCCATATACAAGCACCAGGATTTTCTTTCTGAAACAACTAATTGTTGCTCTCCTGCTTAAAACCCTTCAAAAGGCTCCTCATTTACAGGATAAGACAGAAGTACCTAGCATTTTAGCTGCACTGGACAACACATTGTTTCCTTATCCACCTCTCCTTTCCATATATGTTTCTGCTTATCTCTGTTTGGCCCCCTCCTTATAGAATTGTACTTACACCTCAAAGCTTAACTCAAGTCTCTTCCCTCCCCAAGCCTAGCCCACCATCTAATCAGAATAATTGTTCCTTCACCTGTGATTACTCCTATGGACTAACATAAATTATGCTGTTAGTGGTACATGTGTCTCTTTCCTCTGAAAGGCTGTGAGCTCTGTGAGGAAAGGAATGATCTTAATAAATCCTGTATTCTAGCACCCTGCGCAAGTACCTGAAATGTAGCTGCAGTCAATAAATGTTTTTAAATTGAATTGAATTAGAGGGAGATTACAACATTGTAATATAAATCACTTTGTAGACTTTGATTGATCACTACTGTAAATACTAAAAATGGAAGACCATGTACATTTACTATTCAATAGATATAGGTTTATGGTTAAATCAGTAGCACCGTGTAATGTACGATGATATGTGTTTATGCGTTTGTCTGGATATTTGTAAGTTTGATAACTGACCATGATGTATATGGCTGTTGAAGAAAACAACATATAACGTGTGAGGTTTAAAACAGGCTCTGTTGCCTAGGGCTACCATTATTCCTTACCACACAAGATATGGTCAGCATGATCAAGCTGACTATTTTAGCCATCCTCACAATATCAGGCATGCAGTAAATGAGGTCATTGGTTGACATAAGTAACCGATTCACAGTCCATGCATTTCATACACATAGACCCTACCTAACATGCAAAGTTAACTGGAAACTGAGGAATTGGAGCCAGAGTTAGAACATGACTAGAGTTAAATTTAAACTGTCAAGAAGCAGGCTAATTACATGAAGATCATATTTTTAAAGGCAGTGTCTTTTTGTGCTCACCTTAAGACCTAGTGTCCCCTTTCCTCTAGAGATATTTTTAAAAGGAGGTTTATATAAATCTCAGATTCCTAACTATACAGTATACATAACACAGAGACCATTTTGTTTTCCAGCTACCAAAACTGACATTTGGTAGTGCTCTTCCTCTGTCCTGCCAGCATTTACCTTAATGACATCCTGCTTTGATTCTTAAGAGAATGGCATTCTGTTTTATATATATTGATAATATGAACAAGAGTGATCCCCTCTGTAATATTAGAGAGTAGCCTCAGAATCCTCTTGCTGAAGTTATCTTAAATCAGAATAAAAGAAGGTTTATCTGCACAGCCGGGCAGCGAACTTGGAACCCCTTCTCTTGCTGGAACAGCCAATCCTAATCAGTTCGTGATTCCAATGGTAGTGTCGAAGTAGATGGTCATAGGGCTGAAATGAGGGAGACTGTAGGATTATGGCTTAAGATTCAGACTGTTCTGTTACTTCCTTAAGGCAAGAACTCCCTTGGAGCAGGAAATTTTCAACCTCCTCCATAAAAACAAGCAGCCAGTGACAGACCCTTTACTGACTCCCGTGGAAAAGGCCTCTCTCAAAGCCATGAGCCTGGAAGAGGTAAGTGTGATAGGCCCTTTGATACACCCAGGCATTTTCCCTCAAGCCCAGGAGTCATTGTAAATCTCATTCTTTGTAGGCTAAGATGCGCCGAGCAGAGCTTCAGAGGGCCCGGGCTCTGCAGTCCTACTATGAAGCCAAGGCTCGAAGAGAAAAGAAAATCAAAAGCAAAAAGTAAGGAAACCTGGTAACCTGGCCATGGGTTCCACAAAAGAAAGTGAGGTGGCTAATCACAAGTCTTTAGGAAAGAACCTTTGACGTGGCAATTGGGGTCATATGGAAGAGGCCTCAAATAGGAGTGATTAGCCTTTTTTTCCCCTCAGAGCAACCTCATAGAGGTTTGCTTGCTTCAGGTGTGCCCTGTCCTCTGGCTTTGGCTTTCCGTCTTAGTTTTGCTCAAAAGAAGACAGTTCAATTACTTTCTCTCCTTTCCAGGGCGTCTCAGAGTGATTCTGCAAAATGAACTCTGAATTCTACAGCTGTTGGGGCCAGCAGCGTTTTCTTCCTTTTTGCCTCTTTGAAACTTGTTCTACTCTTCCCTTGAGCTATAGGCGCAAAGAGACTCTGCTCTGCAGAGGTCTGCCCCTGGGGGTTGCAGGGACTGAGAAGCCTGCTAGCTAGCTCTCGTCTCGTTCCTTCTAGTCAACTAGCTCTCCATTCTAGTTCCTGCATAGGGATACCCCTTGGAGAGTGAGGACACTCGTGTGTGTCGTTATCAGTGTTCCTGCTAAATCTCTTCGCTTATAACCCTCTCATTACCCAATAGGTATCACAAAGTTCTGAAGAAAGGAAAGACAAAGAAAACCCTCAAAGAGTTTAAGACGCTGCAGAAGGTCAATCCTACTGCAGCACTGGAAGAACTGGAAAAACTCGAAAAAGCCAGAATGATGGTAAGGCTTCTTCTTGCCCTGCCCCCTGCTTCTTGCCCTACCCCTTGAACCAACTTTCCCCAGAAAACAATAAGGATCTCACACTGCCCTTTCTTTCCAGGAGCGAATGAGCCTTAAGCACCAGAACAGTGGAAAATGGGCAAAGTCAAAGGCAATTATGGCCAAATATGACCTGGAGGTAAGAGATCATCAGGGTGAGCGAAGAGATGGAATTGGGGGAAAGAAACAGTTGGGTAAGAGCCATGAGGGTGAATAGAAAACCTGGAATCTAAAAAGGCATCAGAAAATCTCTAAAGCAGGGAGGAAAAGAACTAGAGCCAGGTGGAAAAGGAGAGGTGAAAGGGAAAGTATTAAAGGCAATTCCAATTAAAGGGGAGGGGAGCTTTTCTTTAAATCATGTTTCGCATGTTGATTCCTTGAAGACAACGGATTTGTCTTCCATTTTATTCCATAGCTATTACCATGGTGGTATATGAGCAGTTTAAATAGTAGGCACCAGTAAGAAATACTTAAAGTCAAATTGAGAGGAGGCAGCTTTAAGAAATGGACCATGAAAGGTGTTATGGTGGTCAGTAATGACAGGGCACACGTGCTCTGACTCCTTCCTCCAGGCTCGCCAGGCTATGCAGGAACAGTTGGCCAGGAACAAAGAACTGACGCAGAAACTCCAGGTGGCTTCCAGGAGTGAAGAAGAGGAGGGTAGTATAGAGGAAGAGGGTGACCTCCTTGTCCCTGATGCCGTGAATGAAGCACAGATGACTGCAGATGGACCGAACCCCTGGATGGTCAGGAATCACTCCAGTGACATGAAAGATGCCGAAATCCAGAAGGACACCGAACAACTTCCAGAGCCTGTGGCCAGTGAGGATTCTGAAAGTGAGGGAGAACAAAAAACAGTCGCGGAGGAAGAAATTTTGTTGAAAGAATTTGAGGAAAGGCGATTGCTTAGGGAGAAGTCTAGGCTCAACCAGGACACTGAGCCAGTGGGCAGACAAAAAACAAAAGGTAAGTTGTAGTGGACTGGAAGGGAGAGCTGCTTGGTGCGTGTGCTGCAGACTGAGAGGAAAGCTGTGCCCCCCCCAACACCCGCATGCCACAGAGTGATGAGGGTCTAGGCTTTCAAGAGAGTGCCATGGGTCCGTGAAGAGAAAATAGATGATCATAATTACTGTTTTTCTTCAAAGGCATTTAATAAGTAGTCATTTGCATGGCTGTACATTGTGTGTTCTGACACGCTTTCTTCTCTTGGGGGTTTACAATCTTCAGAAAGACAGGACTACACCATCCCTAGAGTCAGGGAAAGAGTTAACATTACTGGTACCCACAAACCAGAGAGAAGTGCACTGGCGGGATGGCAAATCTGAAAACCATTCATACCCACAGGCACATAAGTAACTTCTGAGGCATTATAAAGCACCTTCAAATTATGGCTGCAGTGTTCTGTTTTGTTTGTAAAGTAGGAGTGGCATTTTTAGCACTTTGTAAATGCTGGTTGATAATGTGATATGGAGTGAGACTTTCTGGACAAGAATGAATGACTCCATAAGGTACATGGTAAATGAGAATTGTTACCCTGTGCTCAGACTCAATTTGCACATTATATTTTCTACCTGTTATCTTGAAAAGGTTTTATATTAACAACGTTAATGCCCTTGAGACAGATCAGAGAACTCCCATTCTAGGGACAAGACAGGGCGATATAAAGCCTGCTAGGGAACTACCTATTATACATTCAGAATCACCTGGCTATCTGGCCAGAGTCACAGATCTGATTGTATTTCCTGTAGGAATAATGCATTTAGATGACAGCAAGATTATGTTTATCCATGGCATAAAATAACTTTAAAAGAGCTATTATTGAGAATGTATTGTAGAGCCTTTACTTGGGATTTTCATCAGAGAGTTCTGGGAAAAAATTATGAGCAGTCACTTCTGAGAGGACTTTGGAGGGCAGCACTGCAGGCGGAGATTGTGGGGCAGTCTCGCTACAACTACAGGACACCAGTTGCATCCTCCTGAGCCCCCTCAAAAGCTGGTAATCTAGTTAAATGTGTAGAGCAGTTGGTTGTGGTATGAAAGGTGAATTTGGATTTCTTGCATGATAAATAAATAGAATGTTCCCAAACCTTTGGGGAAATAATGGGAAGTCACGGACCCCAAGCAAAATGGGCAAGAAAACTTGATTCTTGAGGAATCATGTGTCCAAAGGCCAGATCTCAGGTAGCTTCTTCCAGCGGCTTCAAGCCAAAGCTAGAGAGCAGGTTGACCTTGGGAATGGAAGCAATTTGAGTCAATGCAGAGGACAATTGAGAAACGTGTCACTGCCTTGTTTCCCTCAGGGCTCTTAGAGACTAGTGGTATTTGCTCAGATGTTGCTGGTGACAGGGAAAAGGTACGCTACTTGACTTGGCCATGACAGATTATGAAATGGCTGTTTTAAGACAGAACAATGTTGGATGTGGTTTTTACAAATAGGACATTCCACTGTCAATTACAAATAATAAATCACAATTTTTAGAAATTACCAATAATAAATTACAATAAAGTTATATCCAGCAACCCCCCACCCCACCCCATTAAAAAGGCCTTTTTAAATTTTGGAACTTGGAAAAATAAAATAAAATTTGGAACTTGGAGCCACCACCCTAAGCAAGGTTTACTGTAGGGGGAAATTAAGCCACAGTTCCAGTTATACAGTGAGTTGTTGACAACGCTGGGAATAGGACCCAGGACATCTGCTTCCCAACATGCTGCTTTTAACTACTGAACTCCATTGCCTGCTTCTTGACAGGTAGTGATTAGTGAACTCTCCAGGAGATCAGTAAATGGAGTCTTCTCTTCATTGGAATGCCTTTCATGGTGCTTAGCACCCAACAAATGTTTGTTGAGAGGGCTCAATAAATGCTCGTTGACAAGGCAACCCCCACCCTCCTTTTCTGACAGCTTTCATTTCTTCCTCCAGATTCTAGCAGCCAGGAGGTGCTGTCTGAATTGAGGGCTCTATCTCAGAAACTCAACAAGGAAAACCATCAGTCCAGGAAGCAAAAAGTGAGTTCAGCGAGGACAGTTCTGCCAATCCAGAGAGAGGGACCTGCTGGGGAAGAGGAGCCCCTGTTGCTGCAGAGGCCGGAGAGAGCAGAGATACTGGAAGAGCTAGACGAGCTGGGCGAAGAAGGATGCTTTCACAATAAGGAGCTTCCCAGACCTGCTTTAGAAGGACAGAAGTTGGAGATGAACCCAGATAATCAGCCTGGTGCCCCCGTGGAGAAAAATAAGGAGCAAATGATTGACCTACAGAACATCCTAACCACAAAATCTCCCTCTGTGAAGTCTTTGGCAGTCCCCACAACAGTAGAGTTGGTGAGCAGTGCCAGGGTTGTGGGCCATTGTGGGGGATCAAAGCTAGGGCAGAAATTGCCCTTCTTGGACAAGGAGGAGAATGCATATGAAGTTTTGTTGTGCTGGGTGCACATTTTGGTAGTTGAGAGGTCCCGAATAGTATGGGGCCAGGTTGGCCTCAGTGACAGTTTGATAGATGCAAATCTGTGAGTGCCCCTGAGACCTCCACTTCCTAAATCCTGAGCCACCAAACCCTCCCTTGGGATGACTCTAAAACTGCCCGCAAAGGAAAAAAGGGAGGCATGCAGAGCTCTGACGAGGTCCCAGGCAGGACAACTCGTGGGTGAGTCATTCAGCTCTTGCCAAGAGTTTGCTCTATTCAGTGGGTTCTCAAATGGTGCAGGACTCCCCGATGAAGTCATTGAAACTGCTCAAGTGAGGAGCCCCGGCCTCTGTCCTCGGGGCTATAAGCTGGAGGACGCCTGCATTCTGGCCAGGCACCGTGGAGCTTCTCCTAACACAGGCTATTCATTTCTCCACCCTGCAGCTTCCTTACTGGAAGTTTAAAATTGTGTCATATAATAATAAGCTGGGGATATTGACCCTAGAGAGAAGAAAATCGGAGCATAATTGGCTGGCCACCAATGGGTTTGTATTGCAAGACCATCATTATTCATTGCTTTCCCCTAGGGGGCGCTAAAATGTCACGACCCAAAATTCAAGTGGTCTTGCCTCCAACCACGTTCCAAAGGCAAACCATAGCTACAGAACCTCCTAACCACAAAATCTTCTTCCCTGAAGCTTTGGCAGTGCCCACGAAAATAGAGGAGTTGGTGAGCAGAGCCAGGGGCTTGGGCCATTGTGGGGGATCAGAGCTGGTGCAGAAAGTGCCAGAAAGGTTCTGTAGCTCCTCCTCCTGCCCAAGCCCGCCCCCCCCGCCCCGTTCTTACTCTTGTTTCTTCACAGGAAGATGAACAGGAGAGAGATCAAAAGCAAGTGATAAAGGAAGCTTTTGCTGGGGATGATGTCATCAGAGACTTCTTGAGAGAGAAGAGGGAAGCTGTGGAGGCGAGTAAGCCAAAGGACATGGACCTAACTCTGCCCGGCTGGGGCGAGTGGGGTGGTGTGGGCCTGAAGCCCAGTGCCAAGAAGAGACGCCGGTAAGAACAGGAGAAAGCCTGTCAGAAGGGCACCAGTTTCTCCACCTCACACTCACACGCCCTCCCTGCCCTTTTGACTAAGCCCTTAATGCTCTTAGACGTTCTGCTGTTCTGCTTTCCAGGTTTCTCATTAAAGCCCCTGAAGGTCCTCCCAGAAAAGACAAGAATTTGCCAAACGTGATTATCAACGAGAAACGAAACATCCATGCAGCAGCTCACCAGGTGAGGGATGCAGAGCTCTTTAGCTGCCTCCACTTTGCTGACCTGCTCTCTTGCTTGGAAGGAATATTCTAGTGCTCAGTGGTTAAGAGGGACATGTGATTTTGACCAGAGTGAAATCTATTTTTGTTTATACTGACTGGTTCTGAGATGAATAATTCCAGATCAACTCTGCTGTTTAATTACTAACCAAGATGAAGGTTGAGACAGGATAATCTTTGCAACAATGGTGAGGCCTTCAAATCTGCATTTTCAACTACTACCCCAGATAACACTGATGCAAATTGGTCTCAACAGATGAAGAATTACTGTTCTTCAGGCTGGTATTTATAGTCAAGGTAATTTGCACAGGCTATGAAGATTGAGCTGCATCTTAAGAAAAACAAAGACAAACAGGTACTTTGTTCAGTGTAGTGAGAGAAGTTTAAATTGTGTCAAATGATAATGAGCTAGGGATGTTTACCCAAGAGAGAAGCAAATTTGAGCAGAATCATGGTTTTCAAGTACAGTAAAACCTTGGAATGCGAGTAACTTGGTTTGCAAGTTTTCTGCAAGACAAGCAAACATTTTTAATACATTTTAACTTGGTAAACAAGCGATGTCTTGCAATATGCGTAGTTTGTTTCCTGAACAAATTATGTTCACAAACCAAGGTATTACTGTACATGGAAGGCTGTCATATGGAGTGGAGTCACATAAAGTAGAAGTCAGGAAAGGCAGTGTTCAATTCAAGCAAAAACTTCCTGCTGGCCCAAAGAGAATGGGTTGTTCTGGGAATATGAGCATGTGTAGAGGATTCAGTAAAGAGATTAGACTCAATGACCTTAATTAAAGTTCCCTTCAATTTTGAACGTCTGTGACCCTAATGTCTGTCCCTAGCCAATATATTATTGAAATGAGTTATATTTTCCTTTCTTTTTTTTTTAAGATTTTATTGGGGGAGGGGAACGGACAAGTTGCTGTCCTTTTTGTTCTTCAGTCTAGTTGTGGAGGACATCGCTTCACTGGCCCATGTTGGTATTGTGATCATTGGGCTCTTCCCGGGTGAGGCAGTCGGTCACCAGCCATTGGACGGCCATTCATGGTGGCTCACGCTGGCTGCCGGCTGCTCACACTGGCTGCCAGCCACTCACGGGTAACTCATGGCAGCCCACTGCAGCCCCACTGCAGCCTATACCGTCACCGGTGACTCACGGCAGCCCAGCTCCAGGTCGAGCTGTTGTTCACCATCTTAGCTGTAGAGGGTGCAGCATCACTGGCCTATGTGGGATCCAAACCGGCAGCTCTGCTGCTCAGAGCTTGCACTCCCAAGCCAACTTTTAATCAACGAGCCACTCGGCCGGCCCAAGTTATATTTTTCCTTCTGAAAAAGGAGGAGGTGTATTTAATAGGTACAAAAGAGAGGTGAGGAAATAACATTTCAATAATACTATATTGATTTCATTTTGTGACCCAATCAGTGCAGAAATTGAATTGTAACCACTGCAATCCCAGTTGAGGCTATATAACTAGAAAACAGGCAATAAACAGGCAGGAATGGGATAAGAGATAAAGAAAGGAGGTGCTTCACCAGGCCAGGATTCTAGGTGAAAGGCAGAGTGTGGGTCTCAGTGACAGTCACCCTTCCCTTCCAGGGCTCTTATCTATTTGTTTTTAATACAGTCACAGCAAACTGACCAAATAGTTTTCCAGACTCTGCCTTCGTTTTCCTCATTTTGAAAATAAGCTATAGACTGCAGGTCCCAGCATGCAATGGAATAAAGTGTGCTTTGAGCTGAACGGGGGGGGGGGGGGGGGAAGACCTTCTAAGGCTGAATACTCTCTGTCCAGGTGTTTTGTTTTGGTTTTTCTTCCCCTGGCTGACATGTACAAATCTACCTATCAACCCCAATAAAACATCCCCTTAACCTAAAGAGAGCCTGTGGCCTTCACTACCACCAGGACCACCTGGCAGTATTCAGCTTCTCTTGTGTGTTACGTTGACTAGCTCCAAAGACTACTAATTGTACTTCCCCCATTTTTCTGCTTATGTCTTTTTCCTCCTCTTTGGCCATTGGGGAAGTATTTAAAGATTATTTGCATGTGTGGTACTGGGCAAGGAAAGAAGCCTAGGCTCTTCTCCCTTACTTCTCCTCATTTTCTTGGGTAAAGTGCTTCTAAGCCACATTCTGGGGCTGAGGAAGATGACCTTTGCCATTATCGAGGGCCTTCCAGCTCTGCCAGTGTGAGGTGCCAAAAGAGGATGAAGCTAACTGAGTGTAACACGCTGGTAGGGTTCAGGATTCAGGAGTCAACCTTTGGGTTCCTTAAAACATCAATCCTGTTTGTCAAGGAGAAGAAAGGAAAGGATAGAGAAGGTAGGAGGGTCATAAAATCCACAGGGATACACAAATGCCTGGGTGTTTCTTGCAGTCACAAGAATGGGAAGGTTGTGTAGAAGACTGACTTGGGGACAGCAGCCCAGGAGCTACTGTAGTGTTCCTACAGCTACAGGGGCAGAGTCAGGATGGTTTTTCGATGCCTAGATTGTTGAATAAGCCTGGGGAAAGAGGGGTCCCAGATTAGGCCCCTCTATTCTCAAATGTCCTCAAGCCAATTAGGACTCCTAAGGTTAGATGGCAGCATTGGGATGCCTTGAATTCTCAGTAGCTTCACTCACTGCTGCCATCATGTATAACTGTGGCCTGTATGCCAAAATTACCTGACCAATTGCCTGGCTCATACCTAGTCACTGCCTTCCTTTCCAGGTGCGGGTGCTTCCGTATCCATTCACCCACCATCAACAATTTGAGAGGACCATCCAGACCCCTATAGGATCTACATGGAACACCCAGAGGGCCTTCCAAAAGCTGACTACGCCCAAGGTTGTCACCAAGCCAGGCCATATAATTAAGCCTATAAAAGCAGAAGATGTGGGCTACCGATCTTCCTCAAGGTCGGACCTCTCTGTCATACAGAGGAATCCAAAACAACTCTCCATACGTCACAAAAAACATTTGAAGAAAATCTCTAAAGATTGAGTTGCTGTGAAGGAGTGACATATTGGTGCCCAGAACCAGGAGCCCCAATTGCTCCTTCATTGGCCCAGTTTTACTCTGAGCTGCAGGATCAATTCCAAAACTGGCTTATCACACTGTGTGTATAGTTAAGCCACATTTAAAAAATAAAGCCTTGTATCTATTTAACTGGAGTGTGTTCTGTGTTGTCTCCCAGTTGAATCAGTTTCACATCATACAAGATGCCTTTCGACGTTCTCCATTGCATTTCTTCAGAAACACTTGTCAGGGGGACCTCATTTTCTTACCAGAAATTGTCTAGTTAGTGCTAAATTGAAGTGGAGAGAAGTTACTCTAGTTTATGATCTTAAATACATCACGTCAGACATGATCGGCCATAAATAACCAATGTTTTAGACTCAGGGATAGTGACTAATCAGTGTATATTCTTAACCTCTGAGCCTAGAAACAGCATGCACAAACCATGCAATTGAATCCTGCCCTGGGCTGGTCCTAGGTTGGTGCGAAAGGTAGGTTCAGCTTTAAGCCTAGCCACTATCTTTTTTTTTTTGCATGTGTAAGCCTCCCGGCTTGCACAGGTAGCTGTGTTAGAGAAGGTAGCACTTTTTTTTTCATTCTTACGACTGAGGTTTTAGCCCTACTTTACAGATGAGGTAGATGAACTTTCAGAAGTCAAGCTCTGTTCCCTTCCTAACTCAGGGCCAACTCCTCCCCATTGATTCAAAATATAGTTCCTTCAAGCATTACTTGGCTCTTTGGCAGTTCACCTGGGTTTCTCAGCTCTGAGGAACTTACCTTTCTTTGGATAACAAGAAATAGACATATATATGGACAGGGCCCCTGCAGCTGAGATTCCTAACAAGGAACTGGAGAAAGCCCTTCTGATTCCAAAAGGACATACCACTATTGCACTGCACCTCCTGACTTGGAGGTTGGTGCCCCCAGACTTTTTAGACCAAGACAGGTTAATTTTTGTGTCACAGACCCCTCTGAAACTTTGATGAAATTATGGACCCTCCTCAGAAAAATGCACATATACATCATCTTACAGTTTGAGGAGCTTTACAGACATTTGGAATCCCTGGCCCAAAAGCGTTCTGCCACTCCATGAGTTTTCTTTTGCAATTCCCTCCACCAACACAGCTCTCTTTTTCTAAGCACACCACTCCAAATCAGTTCCAAAATGTTTAGATATCCAATGTAACTAGTCCCAAATACCTTTATTTTATAGGCAAGAGATTTCTGAGTAGAGTGAGGTCTCCAGTGTTACACATTAAATTAATGGATGAGTAGGCACACCCTAGACTAACTGAAGCGAAAAGCCACGCCATAAATGTCTATGAAATTCTCCGTGGTAGCTGTGGGTCCCTACTACCATTTCTCATCCTCTGAAGAACCAGCCCCGGGGCTGGGAAGGGAAATAAATAACGTTGTGTTCAGAGTCCAAGGGGCATTTTTAAGTTATCCATAGGTTTGAGATCATCTGTGATCAACTCACTGACTGACACCTAAGTCAGTGGCCAGTAGATGGGGGCGGGGGTGGGGAGAGACTCCTGCCCATTTCTGCCTCTGTTTAAGAGACCATAACCTTTTCACTCTTTTGAGCACAAAGCTGCCACCTCAGCCCCACCCACCCCCCAAATTGAAGCGCCCAATCAAGTGCCCCCAATAAACGGCCAATCCCCGTCTACTTTCGCGGGACCCTCCTCAGCTCCGTGTGCTCCGCGCAGCCCAAGAGTAAAGCAAGCGACCCCATCCTTAAAAGGGGAGAGCAGGTGCCAGAATGTGCTATAAATGACGCCCACCCCCAGCCTTCCAAACCCCCAAACGGATTCGATTGTTGTTTTACGGGGCTTTCTTTTTTCTTTTCTTCCTCCGAACCTCTGAAGTGTTCTCCCTTCCCATTGGCCGAAGCTGCCCCTTGACGCCACCCTGGTCTTGCTCGCTGATTGGTCTATTCTGGATGTGCCCAAGCCTTTTTCCCAGGGTGTGGCGCCCCCCGCCCCCAACAGAGCTCTGACCCCTGGCTCCTCCCTTCCCCCAAGCCCCCCTCTCTGTTCCTAATGGTACCGCCCTGGCTCAGCTCCCCCACGGCCCAGGCCGCTGCCCTTAGGGCCCCCGGACGGGGCGGGGCACTCTGGGGACGGGCAGAGGGCGGTGGTGGCGCCTTCCTGCCGAGCCCAAGGCCGCCCCCGCCACCCTTCTCCAGCCCTCGTAGGTCCCACTTTCCCTGGGGAAGTTTTCCTCCTGCCTTGGTAGCCCTCCCGTCTGTGCGGCCCCCACCGTGATCTTTCAGCTTTCCTGATCAGCAGCGTCAAATCCCATGTCTCAGCACTCCACACACGCCCATCCGCCTCAGCCCTCAGGTCCTCGCTGCACTCCCTTTCCCGGTGTCTGCTCCCCCATCCCCTCCCGAGCCCGCCGAAGCGGACTGTCCATCCCCAGGCTCCCCCTCCCTGTGAGGGGCTGTTCCTCCCAGCGGCCTCCCCTTCGTGGCCAGCGTGGTGGAGCACTCCAGGCCAACCCTCCTTTCTCCATACCCCTACGCTGCCTTATGTTGTCCCTTCTCGTCCCTAAGTCCCTCCCTCCATGCCCCCCCCTACACACATATCCCTCCCTCCCAGGCGTCCCTTGGCGCCCCTCCCCTACCTCCTCTAGTCTAGGC